TGAACACCTAAGCAACTGCAAGCTAACAGTAAGTATCCAATACATTTTCTTTATTTTCTCTCTTTTTTGTATAAAGTTGGTCCACATACGATAAAAGATGAAAAAAAATAACGTGGATTAGGAATGCAGTTCGTCAAGTATGTATTGTATGTATTAGACACAAAGGTGATTTTAAGTCTGGGGTTATGTCTGTTCAGTAACTCTGTGGATAAAACACACTTTTTTCCATAAGAATATTATAGAGTACTGCAAATTCACCAGTGAAAGGCAGTATTCAAATAGTGGGCAAATAAATGGTCCCTGGCTTAGTATTGCGTTTGGCTGGAATTACCTGTACTCTGATAGCTCATGTGGTAAATTCAATATAATGTTATATTTTAAAAGCACAAATTCCATCAGTACAACATCAGAGTCATACTCACCACCCTGGTAAACACACTTTTAATACATTTAACATAAACACTGTTTCAACATTTTACTGCAAATGTTTAAAACTAAAAGCGTAGGAATAGCAGATTTTTTCGTGTTTTCTGATTTCAAATGTTTCTTTAAAGCAATAGAAACTTTAGAATCTGCTAGACAATGAAACAATCCTTTAGGTTTATATTATGGCCACTTTCTCCACTCATGTTTTGTCTGCCATTTTGGCATGGTGTACGGCTCCAAATACCACAACACCCATGATCCTCGGCTGCTCTTGCTGTTGATAATCAGAGCTGTAGCATGCTTTGTTGCTGCAGTTGTGAACGAAACATGATACTACAGTTGCTGATTTTCATTTGTTCATCAGTAAACTGCATGTTGTAAAACCAATTTTCTCAAAAGTATAATTTTTAGCGTGTCTACTACTAGCAGCAGATATGACAGATCTTTAAATTCCATGCTCTGTGCATACTTATGAATATCATATTCAATTTCTGACAATAGATTCTCCTAAATGTTACACACTGGACCTTTAAACTGAATAATTTAAAGGTGCACCCATTCTGTAACTCTATGTCCTGTGAGTAACAGTAAAAGCTTTTAATGTAAAAACCTTTAAAAAGAAGCTCAAAGTAAAGCAACTGGAATGAATGAAAGAAAACCATATTTATATCAGAGCAGCAGAGTGGTAAGTATGACAAGAATCTGTTGGAATTAGTGCTGTGGAAATGTATCATGAATTTGAACTGGCTGAGTTTGTATCAACAGCATGTTAAAAGCCAGGAGCAGATCAGAAAACAGGGAGTCCTCTTATTAAAACATGATCAAATAAACCTAAAAAACAGTGGGGCATTAGAAATCAAGTTTAAAATAAAAGTCAGATTTTCTTTGCGGTTGAGGGAAATAAAGGCCTCTCAGAGAATTTACTGTGATTGACCTCTTGCACCCTTTTGTCTGGTGGCATTTAACTAACAACCACTGTCAGGAGACAGCTGCTTCTCAGGCTGTCAAGGTGTTTTACCGACTTGCGCTAAATTAACAGGTCTATCAGCACAACCACACAGTAACTGCAGGCCTTTACTTATCCTATGGCTTATCGCTAGCTAACCAGAGAGCTGGAACAGGGGTCATCTACTTCCACAGACTCATCCCATTTAAGATGTGACACAACCATTTTTTCAGTCTACGTTACAATAATTGAGAGAGTGGATTCAACATAACACAGTACAAAGAACATCTGTGGTTATATAAATCTAAGTATTTACCATTTTGGCTTCACGTATATCTGATATGGTAGTGATTCTAACCCCGTTGTGAATAACACAAAGTGCAATGCCGAAGAAAAGGAAAAAACATCAACAAACAAAAAAGGTGCGTATCCATAAACGCATGTGGTACAGTAGGTAGTTTCTAAAGCTTCAGTGCAATACAGACATTTCAAAAAGCACTTTCATATGATTTCAGTGTGACAAGGCATTCATCCCTATTTGACACAGAGCGGGCGGTACAGTCCTTATATTATGTCACAATAAGTCAGAGCATGTAAACAGAGAGAGAGATAGACATTCAGAGAGATCCTCACAGTCGAAACATTGTCGTGTTCTGATACACTTAAGAGCACAGCAGGCAAACAGGCAGGAGAAGAGAGGACGCCAACAGGAAGGTACAGAGTTACGACACAGGTAGGACCGACGTGAACACACAAGTAACACACGTCACATACTGTCTAGCACTATCCCAGTGGAATGTGAGGCTGACTTTTAGTGGTGTGATCGATGTTCAAGAGCCGTGGCTTGAAATGTTCACAAAATAAAAGTGTGTCTAAAATAAATAGCGATGGAATGTTTGTGCAGAGCGCCGTCGAGCTAAAGCCTACATCGATCATAGGTTTGATTTCACATTTTAAATGATGATTCTGGTTTATAACAGCAGTAATTTTGGCCATCATTTCCATCAGTTTTGAGAGCATTGTACTCAGCAAAGTGGCTGACAGGCTAGAAACACAAGCAGTCAGACAATCCCAAAGAATAAACAAGCAGACAGATTATCCAGATTATCTAATGCAGTGATTCCCAACATTTTTCCTTAAGGGAGCCCTATCCTATCATTGAGTAAACTGACTCAGTGACATATTTTATGGATATTTCATATTCAATGCATCACAATAACAGTTGTTCACTGATTACTCTGATCCCGCATTAGAAAAGTTCAAAGATTAGATTTTAAATAATAATCTAAACTTTAAATATAATTTGGGTTTTTTTCCACATAAATGAGAGTTGGGAAGCAGTAATCTAAACAACGTCTTTGGGGGGTAAAACTGAAAGTGAGCATGCCTGAGACATTCATAACAATTCTTGATTGCACAAGAACAGTGTTCACGACTATGTCATGGTCAGCAGGTCAAAGATAAATCAGGAAGTTGTGAACAGTGATGGATGTACACAACAGACAGTTTTTTACCTTTTCACGTAATTTTCTCTCTTTAACCTGGAGGTTTGTCTAAAGCAGAAACAGTTTGTATTTGGCTACTATGGGGTAGAACACCACAACAAACTGCATATGACACGTGTATTATGACATATTATAACTTTATGTCTTCTAACGCTGTCTGTCTGCTGTTTGGTGTACAGGCCTGTCCCACTGTTGGTATTAAATATTGTCTGCTGCGGTGCTTTGCTTCCCAATCTAAACTTACAGAGTACATTGTAATAACTACTGATATAAATGCCAAATAATGGCCAAAAGTACGAGAAGAACAAAGCTGAAATAAACTGGAATTATCCTTGAACTTTGGCAAGACTTGACTTGAAGGCCTCACAAAGCGCCACATACAAAAAAGTGAGGCTTGTGTTTAGAGAATAAAACAAAACATAAAATTATTTTAAAATATAAAGCAAAACCAGGGAAATACAAGGCTGTGGCAGCCATGTTGTTTTTCTTAAACATACAAGCTGGCCATCAAAGGGTAAGTTCACCCAAATTAAAACAAATCATATTTTGTTAGCCACATCTTGAATTTTTTAATTTCTATTTAATCCTGTGAGAGCCACAAATTAAATCTCATTCACCTCCATTGTATTAGGGTGAAGCCAAAAACCTCACAGACAAATATCTGGACAAAACTTGGACAAATAACTAAACTTGTCTAAACTTGGACAAATAAAACCAAAACTATGTGCATGTCTTGATAATATTTGGGTGAACAGCTCCTAAACATCAACCTGATTCATGTTTCTACTTGGATTATGTTAGCTTCTTAGCTAGCTTGTATGTAATCACTATGACGTGAGAGATCCATGACAGTTCAGGCAATCATATAAAGGGATTTGTGGTGCAAATACAAAGCCTTTTTCATTTTTGGGGTAACTATATGACAATGTAATGGGATTGAAAATATCCTGAAATGTTCCTATTGTGACGATAATGCAAATAAAAGTATAGAAATTCTTTGTAGTGACTAACAGTGCAGTCAAGATGTCCACTTCTAGCAGAGTTGAGGAGCCTCAGTTTGTGATAAGTGGGCAAAAACAGGCAGACAGTTCAACAATAGAAACTTGAATAAACAGGGAGCAGCGTCATCTGAAGGACTGACGGGATGGAGTTTGGTGACTGTTTCACCTTGGTCAGACCAATTAGGAAGTGTCCCAATGGCTTGGGTTGGGTCAGTTGGCTTCAGGTTCATAAATATTAACAGAGAAAACAACAGCGACTTTGATCTTAAGTTGGCTTGGGACAAATCTACTACCTCTCTGGCTCGGTTTAAAAATCAGAAGACAGACATTTTTGTTCAGCTTCGGCTGAGCTGGCCCCTGTGTGTTTCCAGGTGAGGCCAGAGTCGAGCTGAGGACAGAGGCTGAGTGTGATGAGGCAGGAGGGAGTCCGCAGAGGACTCGGGGTGCCGGTCTTCACTGAGGCAGGGGGACGATGACGTCCACATAGTTGATGGGAAAAAAGCCGGACTCGCCATTGATCATGCCCTCGTACCAGTTCTCGTCTATCTGGTTGGTGAGGATGATGATGTCGCCCTCCTTGAAGCCCAGCTCTCCCTCGTTCTCTGGCTCAAAGTCGTAGAGGGAGCGACAGCACGGCTGGTCCAAAACCTCTGACTCTGCACCACAGGAAAAGATTGTAAAATGATTGCAAATTAATGACAAGAAATGGCTTCTTTCCTACCTTACCTATGTTACTGAAGTGTACAGTTTACACTAAAGCCGCAACTAATGATCACTTACATTATTAAGTCATTTTTCATTAATCGATTGAGATGTGGTTGAAAGTCTCAAAAAACTAATGAGACAACCTGAGTCAATGGCGTTTGCTCAGTAGTCAATACTCAGCATTAATACTGAGCCATCTCCTTGACAACTGTACAAAATCCATCTGCTGGTGAAGATCGTGAGATGTGGTTAAAAAGACATTAAAAAGCAAGTAAGTGGACCTTAAGACGGATGAAGACCATGAGATACAGTTGAAAGCTCAGAAGAAAGCTAGTAAGTGGACCTTGAGTGGATGGGGTTTGCTCATTTGTCAGCCATCTCCATGAAAACTGAGAAAACATCAACTGATTAAGACAATGAGATACAGTTGAAAGTTCAAAAGAAAGGTAGGAAAACGACCTTGAGTGGATGGGGTTTGCTCAGTTGCTAATACTCAGTTCTTACACTGAGCCGTCTCCATGACAACCGAGCAAATCCATCTGCTGATGCAAACTGTGAGATGTGGTGAAAAAAGACTTGAAGTTATTATTAATTTTAACTAAGACTTTTTAAAGATGTGTTTGTGGCATCTCTTGAGCAACTCCATCTACTGATGAAAACCATGAGGCAGTTGAAAGCTCTGAACAAAGCTTGTTAGTGGACCTTGAGTACTAATACTGAGCCATCTCCATGAAAACTGAGCAAACTTCATCTGCAGATAAAGACCCTGAGATGCAGTTGAAAGTTCTAGAAAATTATAGTAAGTTTACCTTAAGTCAAACTATAGTTTCTAAGATCATGGATGAAAAATGTTATGTCCCTAATGTATAATTATAATTAGAACTTAACTTAATCATCTGTTATGTTCTATGTGTGTTAATTACTACATTACATTAATGGGTAACAACTGTCTTTTCATTGTGCTACCTTGGTTGTATAATGACAAAATAAATTACATTGTACCTTGTATGATATATGATTCATATGAATCCAGCTGTTATTGTTTCTTAATACAAGATTCAACTTTCTGTCAATTACGCTTTTCAGAACAGATGTACACAGACGTGAATTCAGAGGTGTGTGTTACTCACGGTGAATATTGCCATTGGTAGTGGGGCTCTCAGGCCATGACAGTGGAACAGAGGATATATGATCAGCTGGGTGAGATGTAAAGACAAATGAGATGGTGTTGAGCACAAGACAACACTAAACAATGCACACACTGCGTATATATGATGAAGAAATCATCCCGAATGTGCCCTTTGAATCTACAGCGCATCCCTCCGTACTTCAAGTAGAGTAGTTGTTTCTGACTTTGACCGGTATACTGCCACATTCTCCTTTTCAACCACATGTGAGCACCGAATCCACTTTAAAAGGTAGTCAAAAATGCATCAGCAACAAAATAAATATAATGAATCACAAAACTGTCACATGAGAGCACAACAGCGGTAGATCAAATCGTACCGTAATCATATTGTATAATAATCACATTGTATCGTATCATACTCGTGTCATACAATAATCGCATGGTATCGTATAATAATCACATCGTGTACGGGGCTTGAAAATGACAGGCTGGATCCTTTATCAACAGACAGACTTACCTTTTTTCTACTTAAAGTATTTTTTAACTATCAAAATAACTGTTGTTGTTGAGTCTAGATGTGATCTTTTGTTGCAGAAAACTAAGATCAGGTGTGGAACTGAATGTGGAACAGATGAAAAGTTCAGTTTCCAAAGATGGAACTGTTCTAAAAACAGTTGACATGGTAATCTGCATTTGGTGAGGGAGGAGAAACAGTTGGTTTACATGTGATCGAGCCACATCTGGATATGAGAGACATTATTTCCAGGTGGAGGGGAGCACACATATTGTAACCCAACCTAAAGGATGAAAACATTACATGTGAACACTGTATAAAAGGAATACCTACTTTTCCCATTGACTTTGTGGCTGATCTGGATATCTGTAAGGGGTAACAGAAACAAAGTGTACACTACAACTGAAAGCAAATAATGAAGATGGGACTGACAGAGAAATTGATAGAAAAGAAAGCAGAAAGACAGATCAAATAAAGACAGATATGTGGCAGCTGTACCGGTGGATTTGAGCGAGGAGCTGTAGGAGAGGCCGTTGTGCTGACTGTTGTCCAGGGTCTCCATGCTGCTCCTGATGGACGTTGGTTTGAACTCTCTCTTGGGCCGGCTACTGGCTGTGGATATCCTGGAATGAAAAGGTAGCAAGGTGATGCTTATTGATAATTTATAACTACAACTGTACAATACTGACTTAGAGCAGACCAAACGATGTTGGTGGATCCTCTAACTGTACGCTACTCTGTCCGACAGCTGCACTCTACACTGAGTTTCACTGAGTTATTGACGCAAGGCTTGTTCCCACCCAATACTCGTAGTCTAATTCAAATGAACCTAACAATACATACATGCCCCGACCCATGAACGGTTCAATCCCTAGTGTCAACTGAAACTTTACTGACCAATGTTGATGTTTTTTAAGATTGTTTCATTTCATGATTTTGCTCAAATTCAATAAGAAGAGAAAAGAGCAAAATAATGTAAAGTATGTTAAAATCACTAAACCTAGTGAGGATGTCAGTGTGCCTCCAATATTTCTCCAAAATGCCATGCAGGTCACATGCCTGTGAAGTAATTACTGGCAGCAAAGTGAAGCCAGCACATTGCTTACGTCTTCTGGAGCTTTTTGCTGAGCTCCTCCAGAATTTCACACGACTGTCGGTGGTACTCTACTGCCGCCTCAATCAGTGCCGACAGCTGGCTCACCTGCTCCACCTATTGGCCACAACCCAATGCATGCAACACACAAACACACACACACACACACACATTAATTAATTACACTCCAGCAAAGTGACATAACTCATTTAAAAACACTGTAATGATTATGATGATCAGAAATTCAAAAAAAGAAATAAAAAACAAACCATTAAGTTATGATTTGACTTTGTATATACTGAATGTCAGTACAGTGTAAACTTATATTTATGCCTGTCTGGTCATGTGTTGGTATAAAACTTTACATTTTCTACATATCTACCTAAGATAATACATTTGTTAAGTGCAGAAATCC